CAATAAAAAATGACTCTTTTTTGCCTAGACTGCCTGTCACCAGGCATCTTTTCCGCCTGACACTGTTTTGTCCAGAGTCCTAGGTGCTGATTCACCACACAGCCCTGGAGAGACCATCTCAAGTGGCTCTCGTCCCCCTGGCTTTGCTAGCCTCGCTTTCCTGTCTCTCTGTGAGGTCATCTACCCCCCAAGCAGCTTCCTCACATCCTCAGGAGGAGAGCATTATCACTACCTGGAGCACTTTTCCCTCTGCTGTCTGGGCTGTTACGTGAATCTCCAAGAAGGTTCTCCACTGTTCACTTGAGCACAGTAGTAAGCACTGACTCTCCACTAGCCCTGAGCTTTCACAGATCATCAGAGACGGTCCCAAACTCAGAGAGCTTAGACTCGGCAAATGAGACACCAACAAAGAGCATCGACTGCCATGGTAATAAGTGTGTGAGCAGCTGGTGGTGATTGCATGCCCACTGCATGCCAGGAAGTGTTCTAATAAACATCTCAGCGATCCGGAAACACAGTTCTGACTACTGTCTTTTTCATAGATAAACCAAAACACAGCTTAAATAAAATAGCTAAGGTAACACTAAGTGGCGAATCAGAAGTGCGCCCCATGCCTATGGCTCCAGATGCTGTGCTCCTAGCTGTTAGGCCGTGCTGCATGTTTTTATATAGCCGACAGAGTGTGCTTCTAAAAAGTATCCTTCAGGTTATGACTCCTGCACCCAGTTGAAAGAGATTTGAGGAAGAGGGAAGAGAGTGAACAGTAGTAAAGAGGACTGAAAACACAGAGGGAAGCTGAGCACTCAGAAGAACAAGGAGCAGTAAGGCTGGAGGGCATGATAGAGGCCTGGGGCATCTGGGCCTTCTGCAGGTTCTTTAGGCCTGGGGGCTACTGGAAGTGTTTAGGGGCACTCCTTAAGAAGTGTCACCATGGCTGAGTAGGCTGACTGATTAGGGCAGGAGGAAGCTACTGCAAAGCCCTCTATAATAGGACCTGAGCAGGGACCCATAAAGGCTTAGGAGGCAGAAAGGATGGGACTCTATCCATATCCCAACCTCAGCAGCCAGTGTTCTGTGACTCGTTTCTATTTGTATAGGCAGTGTTTGTACTGTTCGTTGGTTTTGGTTCTTGTCTGTTGTACAATTTGAAAGGTTCTTGGAGACAGAAACAACAAATGTTTCTTCGATGTTCATTTAGCATCGGGCAGGTCAGTATTATTTTTGCAAAATGGCTCCATCCTATCTCCTTGTCATGCAAGCCTTAGCCCTCACCAGGAAGGTTCTGTCTGTTGCACCACATTTGTCCACATTCTACTCACAAATACTGGACATCGTTGTGTAAGGCCATTTGGTAGTGCTCCTGGGTGATGTGTAGGCCAGCAAATCCGTTGAGCAGCAGATCTCAGGCTTCCCATGGTGAATTAGAAGCCCACTCTTCCACATCAGGCCATCAGGACAGAGGCCCACTGCTTCATTATTGCAAGGCACCTCCCAGCCCTCTGTCACTGGACCCACCAGAATGACTTTTTTTTTCTCAAACAGGAAAGCGGATTGGGAACAATCCCTACAAGATCAAATGTCCCTAAGATTTCCAGTATTTTCTAGGTTTCGCTCAGCAGGAAATGCCTCAAAAAAAAGGCCTTTCTTGTTATGTTTTGATAACTGAGAAATCAGGAAATGGAAAAGCCTGTGTTAAGCTGAGCTGTAAGCAACATCAGTGTCTAATTTGAGCCTTAGAACAGATGCGATAAGGGCCAGAGACAGATCAACCTAGAGAAATCGCAAATACAGCTCACCTGAATTCCAGCAGGCTGGGAGACTGGCCTGGAAAGGTGTAGGTTTGGGGTGAGATGTGCCTGGATTTGGATCATGGTTCCTGTCATTTTTGTGGCCATGTATCCTGTAGAACAGTCCCAGAATTTGGGGAAATGGGATTAGCTAACTACACATAAATGGCATCTGCTAAGAGTAGACATTTCATACGTTGTGGTTCTCATCCGTTTTAGACATTTTCTTGTGCCAAAGGGATAATACGCTAGTGGGTTATCAAAGCAGGAGTTTAGAGGAAGAGTTTCCACAAAATTAAGGATTTGTTGTCCCATATTCAAATCTGGGGAAAATTTGCTGTATTTCCTTCAAGTAAATGACCACAGTAACTTCTTCAAAAAGAGCCATAAATTAAAACACAGAGAAATTTCATTCTCTTAGTGGCTGATTATAGACAAACATGCCTTAATTGAGGAGCTGTTTTGAAAAGCTCATTCCCCAGTAGGAACTCAAGTCTCCAGGGCCTGGGTGGGTCTCATCAGACAAGAGAGGAAGGAGAGAGGGAGGTGTACCCTAGCCTCAGCCTCTTAAAATACGGAGCCATGTGGTGAAGTCACTGTGAATGTGCTTTCTCCCTCGCTCCTGTACAAAGTGTTCAGGGAAGGCTTTATTTCACACCAACCTTTGCAGGGCAGGGGCTCTGTACCAGCGGTACTCAAAACTAGCCTACTTCTTTGACAGCCTTGATGAATCACTGCTTTTACTCCCACTAACTAGTGATTCCCAAATTTTTCATTATAAAGTACCCATTTATTGGGCCAGATGTGTTGGCGCATGCCTGTAATCCCAGCTCTTTGGGAGGCCAAGGTGGGCAGATCACCTGAGCCCAGGAGTTCAAGGCCAGCCTGGCCAACATGGCAAAACCCTGTCTCTACAAAAAAATACAAAAATTAGTTGGATGTGGTGGTACATGCCTATAGTCCCAGTTACTTGGGAGACTGAGGTGGGAGGATCACTTGAGCCCAGGAGGTGGAGGTTGCAGTGAGCCGAGATTGTACCACTATACTGCAGCCTAGGTGACAGAGCGAGACTCTTGTCTCAAAAAAAACGAAAAATACTGATTTATCATTCTCCATGGATTCTGTATTTTGAAGCAGTCCTCAAACTTTAAGGTGCAAATGAGTCACCTGGGGCCTGGGCATGGTAGGTAGTTCACACCTGTAATCCCAGCACTGTGAAAGGCCAAGGTGGGTGGATCACTTGAAGTCAGAAGTTCGAGACCAGCCTGGCCAACATGGCAAAACCCTGTCTCTACTAAAAATACACAAAAATTAGCCAGGCATGGTGTGGGTTCCTGTAGTCTCAGCTACTCAGGAAGCTGAGGCAGGAGAATCTCTTGAACCTGAGAGGCAGAGGTTACAGTGAGCCACTACACTGCTTTTACTTCCACTAACTAGTGATTCTGTAAATGAAAAACCAGCCTGGGAGACAGAGCAAAACTCTGCCTGGAAAAAAAAAAAAGCAGATTCTGTAACAGAGGTCCAGGGCAGAGCCTGAGATTCTGCATTTGCAGCAAAGGCCCAAGTGAAGCCAGTGCTGTTGTTCTGCAGGCCACCTTTGGATGACAGGCTTTTGAAATATTTTCTTATTGGAAGAATCGTCTGTATTTATTAAATTCTGCTTAAAATTGATAACTTTTTTGTACATCCATGTTTATAACGGCATTATTCACAGCAGCCAAAAGGTAGGAACAACCCAGGTGTCCATTGACTGGAGATGGGGTGAGAAATTAATTTCCTGGACACAGAGTTTCAGTTGGAAAAGATAAAAAAAGTTCTGGAGATGGAAGGCAGTGAATGTACTGAATGCCACAGAACTGTATACCTAAAAGGGTTAGCATGGTAGGTTTCATGTTGTGGTTATGTTGCCACAGTGTTCACAAGTCGTTAACTCAGTTAATCAGACTATTCAAATACCCAGTAGATTGCATTGTGGGGAAATAGCTGAGCAAAATTTTCAGTGATTGCTGCAAGGACCTCCCAGGGGTGGGGACAGAGTCTGGAGCACAGCTGCACAGCTCATGGAGAGAATTTGCATGGCCAGGCAGCCCCTGGTCCACTTCTCCCCACATCTGGGCAGGTGCAGAGAGCATAGCTCTACTTCCTATTATCTCCCTCAATTTCTTATTTGCGCTTTGCCTATGTCTATAGAAGGAAAAACCTGACTGATTAGAAATTATATTCACGCCAGCCTGGGCATCATGGTGAAACCCCATCTCTACAGAAAAATATAGAAATTAGCCAGGCATGGTGACACGTGCCTGGGGTCCCAGCTACAGGCTGAGGCAGAAGGGAAAAAAGAAATCATATTCAAAATTCAGCTACTCAATGTTTACTCTTTTTAAAAATGCCTTTCCATCATCTGCCATCTTCCCACCCATTATTCTCCCATCGCCCACCAAGCAGCAAGATAATTCCCCACCCCTTAGCTGTTTATGTGACCTTGAGGATGTCCCTGTCACAATGGACAGTCACCTACTCAACACTAAGCAATGACACATGCTAGGAGCGGCACTGTGCCTTGGGGCCGCCAGATGAATGAGACTCAGCCTCTGCCCTGAGAGTGCAGAGACTCAAGACAGATATGACCACGTGAAGAGACAACTGTAAAACACGCGGTAAGTGCAGCTACAGCCATAGCCACAGGGCAATGTGAGACCGCAAAGCAGTGAAAGCTAAGCTAGTCTAGGCTTGGCAAGGAGAGATGGAGTGAGGTGGGCAGTGGCGAGGGAGATGGGAAGACCAGAGCTGAGAGGTGAGATTGGGTTTGGGTTTATCTTAACCAATGAGAGTAGGGAGGCTGTTTCATCTTCCAGGCAGGTCACAGAAGCTGGAACCCAGGTGATCACGCTGAGCCTGCAGACGCCCTCATCCCTTCCGGTCTTCAGCAATGACAGCCTTGCCCTCTCTTCCCAGCCTCTGTGCCTTCATCCTCTCCTGTGTTCCCATGGACTCTTGGTCCTGACTTTGCATCCCTCCCTCACACCCAGTGTCCTTTCTTTTTCCTCTGCCACCTTGGAGGCTGATGTGGGAGGATCACCTGATCCCAGGAGGTTGAGGCTACAGTGACCTGTGTTCACACCACTGTACTCCAGCCAGGGTGACAGAGTGAGAACCTATCTCAAACGGGGGGGAAAAAGACACTGCTGTGTATGATACTATAAAAGTGGATATGTCTACGGCCATACCACCCTGAACACGCCCAATCTCGTCTGATCTCTGAAGCCAAGCAGGGTCGGGCCTGGTTAGTACTTGGGTGGGAGACCGCCTGGGAATTCCAGGTGCCATAGGCGTAAAAAAAAAAAAAAAAAAAGTGGATATATGGGCTGGGCGCGGTGGTTCATGCCTGTAATCCCAGCACTTTGGGAGGCCAAGGAGGGTGAATCATAAGGTCAGGAGTTTGAGACCAGCCTAGCCAACTTGGTGAACCCACATCTCTACTAAAGATAGAAGAAAGTAGCTGGGCATGATTGTGGGTGCCTGTAATTCCAGCTACTCAGGAGGCTGAGGCAGGAGAATCGCTTGAACCCGGGAGGCAGAGGTTGCAGTGAGCTGAGATTGTACCACTGCACTCCAGCCTGGGCAACAGGGTGAGACTCCATCTGGGAAAAAGAAAAAAAAAGTGGATATATGTAATTACACATTGTGAAATCTCATAGAATGCACAGCACCAGGAATGAACCCTAATGTAAACTGTCAAGTCTGGGCTTTAGTTAGTAACCATGTGTTGATACCGGCTCATCAATTGTAACAAATGTACCACACAAACATAAGTAGTAAATAAAAGGGAAGCTGTGTGTATGGTGCAGGGAGGGTGCGTGTGGGAACACTGTACTTTCTAACCAATTCTAAAATTGCTCTAAGAAATTAATTCTATTAATTATTTTTAAAAGAAGTCTTTTGTTAAATTAGCAATATAATAGGATAGTTGCTTACCCAAGAAAATTCAGGTTTTCAAATATTGCATTTTAAAAGCAATTGTTTCAGGAGGGGAGGGTGATCTGGCTGCAACATCTGCCACCCCACTGATCGCTAGGGTTGATGTGTCTGATCGGGCTGGTTAGGTGGGTGTCCCCATCCTCCCTCATCGCTCCATGTGTGCCCCTCCAGACGCTGCGGACGACCTTCCCCATCAGAGGAGGGCTGTTCTTTCGTCAAGGGTATTTGAGTAGCTGTACTCCTCTGCTAGAACCTCCAAACAAGCTCTCTCAAAGTAATTATTTCAAAGGAGGGATTGAGAGTTTCATCCTGTATGACAAAGTTAATTTTTCCTAAAAAAATTTAATAATAAAGGTTGTCCTGAATAGTTGAGTATGCACAGCTATAAAACCCACAGGAGAAAGCAATCTGGCCTCTGCATCTAATATCTGCTCAAGGTTGATGAGTGCTCTCCCCCTCCCTGGCAGCAACAGCTGGGTTGTTTGAGCTGCCCACACCCCTCATTCCCTGAGGCCATCGTAACAGGACAGTGTCACCTTTGTCATCCATTGTGTTGATATATAAATCCACTCAGCTAATCTGTTCCTGGCCAAGACCACAGCCTTTTCCCCTCTCTCTGAGGAGCTAAGTCTGACTGTCGTATTTTCAGTTCTGATTGTTATATCAGTAGTAGCAAATTGCATTTCCTGTCAATCAATTAGTGTTGTCAATTCACCCTCCGACAACTAGAGTAAAAGGCCTAAAATTATTGAGTGGCAACTCTGTTCTGGTTGCCTTGCCAGACAAGCGTCTCCCCTGGAAAGACAGACAGCCAGACTCAAGGGGAAGGAGTCAAGGAAATCAAGCAGGAAAACCTATTAGGCATTTTGGGGAGAGATCAGGCAGGAGCTAATGAATTCTAGATGAAAAGTGACAGCCGAAACTGAAAAAGGGGCAGGGCCAGGCGTGGTGGCTCATGCCTGTAATCCCAGCATTTTGGGAGGCCAAGGCGGGTGAATCACCTGAGATCAGGAGTTTGAGACCAGCCTGACCAACATAGAGAAACCCCATCTCTACTAAAAATACAAAAATTAGCCAGGCATGGTGGCACATGCCTGTAATCCCACCTACTCAGGAGGCTGAGGCAGGAGAATCACTTGAACCCAGGAGGCGGAGGTTGTGGTGAGCCAAGATCGCACCATTGCACTCCAGCCTGGGCAACAAGAGTGAAACTCCATCTCACAAAATAAAAAAAGAAAAAGAACAAAGAAAAAGAGGCAGATGTTGTCTCATTTGGCTTAACAGAACCTCCAACTGATTATAAGCCAGGAGGGAGGAGTTTAAAAGGCCTGCTGATCTGAAGGGGAATCTTCAGGTCCCTATGGGCTCTCATCTCCCCAAGGAGTCTTCTCACTTAGACCAGCACTCCCAAAGCATGGAACCCAGCAATCGCTGCAGTGAGCCACAAGTGCTTTAGGGTTTCAGAGGAAAAGGCAATGCGTTGGCCTAAAGGAAGAAGCTGAGGCAAAATGAATGTAAGTAGAGAGCTTATGTGAGCCAAATTTGAGGACAGCAACCCTGGGGATTTCGATTCAAGTTGCCCAGAATAGTGGGTTTTCAAAGGGAAAAAAGATGGGGCAGTTCTTGGTAAAATTGTTCACCAAGTATTTATATTGCTTCATTAAAATACCATAAGCTTCTTTTTTCTTCTTCTTTTTGAGACAAAGCCTCCCTGTGTTGCCCAGCCTGATCTTGGACTCCTGTACTCAAGTGATCAGCCTCCGGTGTAGCTGCAATTACAGGTGCATGCCACGGTGACTCACTCAAAATAACATAAGCTATTGATTGGCTATGTGTTCTTTGTATCACAAATTCCAGAAACATGAAGATATGGGTGAGGGTCATATTGTGCAGCCTGTAACATTTTAGGTAATTTATCAGCTAGTCTGGAAACTACAGGCAATAAAAGAAAAATACAAAATGCCTTTAAACAATTAACCCTGTGCATAGGTTAATGAGACTCTCCTGTCTCTCTGCTAAATTTTGCATTCCTCACATTCTTCAGACTGCTCTGAGCTACTTTCCTTTCCCAAATGACACAGTTGTAGTCACACTTCATAAATTGAAAATGTAACATAGTAATGATTTCCCAGAAATCTCATTTTATTCTTAATAGTCCTTGCATATTTAAATGTTGAGCATTTTCCACAAAGACGATATTAATGAAATGTTCTTAAATAACATTCAGTTAACAGTATTCAGTTCATTCTGGTTAATATATTTTTCACAACATTTGTTTATTTCTGTTTAGTAAGTCTACAATCTTTATCATTGCCATGGGTTATTAGATTGACTTAGTGGCTCAGAAGTATTCACTGAATCCTAAAATAATGATGGAGAGAGTAGCGGATATTCCACACATCAGGATAATCTGTGAACACACATAATGCTCATAATTCCAGAATGATGTAGAATGGCAACCAGGACTCCATGGGTCAAGCACATCTGCAGGTGTGATGATCTTGCACAAGCAGCCAAAAAGTGAAAGTGAGAAGCGCCACAATGAACATCTGAAAAATGTGTTTGATTAAATCCAAGTTCTCCTTCCCCCAGATCCCTGAGCACAGTTATAAGACCTGGCCAGATGAGATTGTTAGGACTCAGAAAATAATACCCCTGTAGGATCCAAGAGAAAATGTCCTTTTAGCCCCCTAAAGTTTTGCTAAAAAAATAACTTACAAAAGACAGATTAATGGGAGAAAAGGCATATGAATTTATGTGCACATAGGAAAGAACCACAGAGTGATTACTCCAAACACCCAGTGGGGTACAGAAGCTTATATACCACCTTGAGGTTACCAAAAGAATGGGAGCCCAAAACAGGTTATAGTGGTAAATCAGGCTATGATGCAAGACAGGTTATGGTGGGGAGAGAAGGAGAGGCCTGGCTAGCAAACGTGGTCTTGCTATGTAGATGAAACCTCACAGATAGCAGTCTGCAGAAAGAATAGATGATAAATGTTTCCAACCTTCAAAGGTATCAAACTCTCACTTATCTTTCCTAGATCAAACAAGGGAGGACTCAGAAGAAGCCTGGCTGCATCAAAGCAGATTCCGTACAGATGCAAAACTCCCCATGAAAGACAGCTTTGCAGGGCTACTCCTCTTGGCTGGCTCTCTGAAGAGACACCTCAAAATATATCAAAGAAGGATATTTTGGGGGTAAAATATTTTTATTTCTATCAGTCCTACTTTGAAACTTTGAAAGGCCCCCCTTTCGTGCCTTCCCGCTCACTCCCTTCTATTAAGATATGGCCTGTGGCCAGGCGCGGTGGTTCACGCCTGTAATCCCAACACTTTGGGAGGCCGGGGTGGGTGGATCACCTGAGGTCAGGAGTTCGAGACCAACATGGCCAACATGATGAAACCCCATTTCTACTAAAAATACAAAAATCAGCTGGGTGTAGTGTCGCATACCTGTAATCCCTGTTACTCGGGAGACTGAGGCAGGAGAATCGCTTGAACATGGGAGATGGAGGTTGCTGTGAGCTGAGATTGCGTTTATGCACTCCAGCCTGGATGACAGAGCAAGACTCCATCTAAAACAAAAAGTGATGTGCGTCCTTCCAGAGGATGCTCTGTGAATTCACAACTATGTGTAGATTCTCACTTGATAGACAAACATTTTCTCTTGTACATAAAATACATATTTACCTTTTTTTTTGAGACATAGTCTCGCTCTGTAGCCCAGGCTGGAATACAGTGGCGTGATCTTGGCTCACTGCAACCTCTGCCTTCCAGGTCCTGGTTCAAGCAATTCTCCTGCCTCAGCCTCCCGGGTAGCTGATATTACAGGCACGCACCACCATGCCCAGCTGATTTTTGTACTTATAGTAGAGATGGGGTTTCACCATGTTGGCCAAGCTGGTCTTGAACTCCAGACCTTGTGATCCACCCACCTTGGCCACCAGCATGAGCCACTGTACCCAGCTTGGCTTCATTTTTTATAAGGTGTACTATATAATTACTCTTAGTACATATTTGACATTTTTAATTAATAAGTTTCTAATTGATAAATCATAAGCTGTACACCACAGCCAGAGTGCTCCTTTAAGAATAAATGTAAGTTAGAAAAACAAAACAAAGCTGTGCCAACTACTCAGCTCAGCCTGCTGTACAGAGAGTCTTGTGGCAGCAGAAAAAAGAAAGAATGTAAGCCAGAGCCTGTCTTTCTCGGAGCCTGTAATGGCTCCTTCGTTCCCTCTCTACAAGGCCCTAAGAAGACAGGACTCACTTCCTTTCCCCTCCTCTCTTCCTCTCTCCGGTTTCTCTTGCAACCTGCTCCTCCTCCAGCACGTGGCCTTTGCCCTGGCTGGTCCTTCTGCCTGGAAGGTTCTTCCCCGTTTTTCTCAGGGCTCACTGTCACCTCTACAGGCTTTGGCTCAAATGTTACCTCCCCGGTAAGGTCAACCCAACCACCCTAGTTAAAGTCGTAACCCTCCATCACCACACTCCCAATCCCCTCCACGCTGATCTCTTTGATAACCTTCATTGCACTTAAGGGCTTTCAGACTTACAAATTCACTTATTATACGTACGATATTCTGTCAGTTCCCCCTTGCTAGCCTGTAAACTCCACAAGAGGCCGAGCGTGGTGGCTCATGCCTGTAATCCCAGCACTTTGGGAGGCTGAGGAGGGTGGATCCCTAGAGGCCAGTAGTTCAAGACCAGCCTGACCAACATGGTGAAGCCCCATCTCTAGTAAAAATAGAAAATTTAGCCAGGCATGGTGGTGGGCACCTGTAATCCCAGCTACTTGGGAGCCTGAGGCAGGAGAATCGCTTGAACCCAGAAGGTGGAGGTTGCATGAGCTGAGATCTTGCTGCTGCTCTCCAGCCTGGGTGACAGAGCGAGACTCCATCTCGAAAAAAAAAAAAGAAAAAAGAAAAAGAAAAGAAATGAATGACTTTTCCTATAAAAACTCGTATATGTAAGACATCAGAGAGTTTGGTTCTTAAGCATGAGAATTGCCCAAGTCTCCTCGCTTGGCATCCTGTAATACATGCTTCAGTTTCTCTCTCTGCAATCATGATTCAGTGTTTGGCTTTGCTGTGCTCAGCAGACAGACCCAAGTTCAGTTTGATAACAGTCTCCCTCCCACAACCAAAGCCATTCTTGGTCCCCTGAAATAGATGAGGATCCCCCACCTGGAGAGAAGAGGATAGGTGTCTCCCAGCCAGGCCAGCTCCGGGCAGGACCTGGAACACACAGCCCCAGTTCTCTCCTGGCATCTGTTTCTCGTGCCCAGGCAGAAGGGCCTAGGGTGTGCTAAATTACATGGCTGAAGTGGAAATCAGAATGTGTTCTTGTCGAAACAATATAAGGCAGCACTCATGATGGACAGAGGTATACTAGGTGAGTTGGTGGACTTTCCATCATTAGTAAGAAAAGTAAAGAGGGAGCTGTCTGTATAAGCATAGGAAAAATAAGCTTAATATGTGACTTACCTGATGAAAGGGTTAGTAAGAGAAGACAGAGGAGAAGAGGTAGGGCACAAAAGAAAAGCAAATTGGGGCTGGTGCAGTGGCTCATGCCTGTAATCCTAGCACTTTGGGAGGCTGAGGCAGGTGGATCACTTGAGGTCAGGAGTTCAAGAGCAGCCTGGCCAATGTGGTGAAACTCTGTCTCTATTAAAAATATAAACATTAGCCGGGTGTGGTGGTGAGCACCTGTAGTCTCAGCTACCTGGGAGGCTGAGGTGGGAAAATCACTTGAACCCGGGAGGCAGAGGTTACAGTGAGCCAAGTTCATGCCATTGCACTCTAACCTAGGCGACAAAGCAAGACTGTCACAAACAAAACAAAACAAAAAAAACAGAGAGAAAGAAAGAAAGAAAGAGAAGAAGGAAGGAAGGAAGGAAAGAAAATTAAATTGCACTGAAAAATGTATGTGTGACAAGATCATATTTATGCACTATAGCATAATGCACAAAACTATGGGTTCTGATGTCAAACTAGCTGGTTCCATCTCAGATTCGATACTTACTAGCTTTGTTATGCTAGGGAAGGGGCATTACCTTGTCTGTGTTTCAATTTCTTCAAATGTAAAATAGGGATTATAATTGTACATATGTCAGAAAGTTGTTGTTGAGTGGATCAAATGGGATAACACATTTAAGTTCTTAGGACCATATGCTTATAAAGGCATATAGTAAATGCTAACAGACTATGCATTAGTATTCATAGCTCTTAGTAATGGGCAGTATTGTTCAATTTGTGTGCACTGGTGCCTTCATTACATATAAGATGCATAATGCTCAGGGCACTGAACTGCCTCACCGTCAGGGGTCTCTTACCCTGAATGGTGCTGGGTGCATCCTGGAAAATTCTAACAGCCCAGATTCCCTTTTAGGAGTACCAGGTAGGCCCTTCTGTTAACATAGTTTTCCTTCAAGCAGATCACAATGTAACTGACTAGATGTTTGTTTCCTTTAAAAAACAGCTTTGTTTAGGCATAATTTACATAAGATAAAACTCACTCTTTTTAGCATACAATTCAGTGATTTTTAGTGAATTCACAGAGTTGTTCAACCAACACCACAATCTAACTTGAGAACTTATCGGTCATCACTAAAAGAAACATGGTGCCCATTTGCACTCACTTCCCAGTACCCCCTCCAGTCCCAGGCAGGCTGGAAGGGTTTGGTTTGCCGCTGAGTCCTGGTCCAGCCACCCAGGGCCCTTCAGGAAGTGCAATAAGCCACCTTATTTGGACTCTCCTAAACTATGACTCCTCAGTGAAACATTATAAGCAATCTCCCTTGATGTGTAATTTCTACAGATAGCTGCCTTCATCCATTTCTTTTTTTTTCTTCTGATTTAAAATGTTTTTTTAATTGCAAAAGTAATAAATGTTCATTGTAAAATACATAAATGTGCAAAGAATTGTAAGAAAGAGAACACAGATTTCTCATAATCCTACCGCTAGATGGAACTGTTAACATTTTTAAGTGAATCATATATGATTTTTTTTTTTTAAAAAAAGAATTGTATTATAGATACCTTCTTATAATCTCCTTTTGTTTAGTATAAATATTATTTTTAAAATTTCCTGGATGGGCGTGGTGGCTTACGTCTGTAATCCCAACACTTTGGGAGGCCAAGGCGGGTGGATCTCGAGGTCAGGAGTTCGAGACCAGCCTGACCAACATGATGAAATCCCATCTCTACTAAAAATTAGCTGGGCGTGGTGGCACACACCTGTAATCCCAGCTACTCAGGAGGTTGAGGCAGGAGAATTGCTTGAACCCGGGAGGTGGAGGCTGCAGTGAGCCAAGATTGTGCCACTGCACTCCAGCCTGGGTGACATAGTGAGACTCTGTCCCCCAAAAAAAAACAAAAGTCATTAAACCTTTCTGTACAATTTTGTAATTTCCCCAGATTTGTTCAATTATGAGCTCATCATTGAACATTGTTTTTTATTTTTTTCTATTATACATAATACTTTTTTTTACATCTCTGGAGATCTATTTTAGCACACATCTCTGCCATTTCTTTTTTTTTTTTTTTTTTTTTTTT